ATAAGATCTTGTATATATTTCCCTGTGCTATATAGTATAATCTTGTTTATCTATTCTACAATTTTGAAATCCCAGTCTATCCCTTCCCACCCCCGCCCCCTTGGCAACCACAAGTTTATATTCTGTGTCTGTGAGTCTATTTCTGTTTTGTATTTATGCTTTGTTTGTTTGTTTTTTAGATTCCACATATGAGCGATCTCATACGGTATTTTTCTTTCTCTTTCTGGCTTACTTCACTTAAAATGACATTCTCCAGGAGCATCCATGTTGCTGCAAATGGCGTTATGGTGTAGGTTTTTATGGCTGAGTAGTATTCCGTTGTATAAATATACCACATCTTCTTTATCCAGTCATCCGTTGATGAACATTTAGGCTGTTTCCATGTCTTGTCTATTGTAAATAATGCTGCTATGAACATTGGGGTGCAGGTGTCATCCTGAAGTAGGGTCCCTTATGGATATATGCTCAGGAGTGGGATTCCTGGATCATACGGTTAAGTCTATTCCTAGTCTTTTGAGGAATCTCCATACTGTTTTCCACAGTGGCTGCACCAACCTGCATTCCCACCAGCAGTGTAGGAGGGTACCCTTTTCTCCACAGCCTCTCCAGCAGTTGTCATTTGTGGATTTTTGAATGACGGCCATTCTGACTGGTGTGAGGTGATACCTCATTGTAGTTTTGATTTGCATTTCTCTGAAAATTAGTGATATTGAGCATTTTTTCATGTGCTTTTTGATCATTTGTATTTCTTCCTTGGAGAATCGCTTGTTTAGGTCTTCTGTCCATTTTTGAATTGGGTTGTTTATTTTTTTCTTATTAAGTTGTATGAGCTGCTTATATATTCTGGAGATCAAGCCTTTGTCGGTTTCATTTGCAAAAATTTTCTCCCATTCCATAGGTTGTCTTTGTTTTACTTATGGTTTCCTTTGCTGTGCAGAAGCTTGTAAGTTTCATTAGGTCCCATTTGTTTATTCTTGCTTTTATTTCTTCTAGGAGGAAATTTTTGAGATGTATGTCAGATAATGTTTTGCCTATATTTCCCTCTAGGATGTTTATTGTATCTTATGTTTAAGTCTTTGATACATTTTGAGTTGATTTTTGTATATGGTATAAGGGAGTGTTCTAGCTTCATTGTTTTACATGCTGCTGTCTAGTTTTCCCAACACCATTTGCTGAAGAGACTGTCTTTATTCCACTGTATATTCTTGCCTCCTTTGTCGAAGATTAGTTTACCAAAAGTTTGTGGGTTCATTTCTGGGCTCTCTATTCTTTTCCATTGGTCTATACGTCTGTTTTTGTACCAATACCATGCTGTCTTGATGATTATAGCTCTATAGTGTTGTCTGAAGTCTGGGAGAGTTATTCCTCCAGCCTCTTTCTTTCTCTTAAGTAATGCTTTGGCAATTCTAGGTCTTTGGTGGTTCCATATAAATTTTATTATGATTTGTTCTAGTTCTGTGAAATATGTCCTGGGTACTTTGATAGGGATTGCATTAAATCTATAGATTGCCTTTGGCAGTGTGACCATTTTAACAATATTGGTTCTTCCAATCCAAGAGCATGGGATATCTTTCCATTTTTTAAAGTCTTCTTTAATTTCCTTCATCAGTGGTTTATAGTTTTCTGTGTATAATTCTTTCACCTCCTTGGTTAGATTTATTCCCAGATATTTAATTACTTTGGGTGCTATTTTAAAGGGGATTGTATCTTTTCTTTCTTTTTCTGTTGATTCATTGTTAGTGTAAAGAAATGCAACTGATTTTTGAACATTAATTTTGTAACCTGCTACCTTCCTGAATTCTTCAGTCAGCTCTAGTAGTTTTTGTGTGGACCTTTTAGGGTTTTCTATATTTAGTTCTTTCACATTTTTTAATTGGGTTGTTTGTTTCTTTGATGTTCAGTTATATGAGCTCTTTTTATATGTTGGATATTAACCCCTTATAGCCATATTATTTGCAAATATTTTCTTCCATTCAGTAGTTTATCTTTTTATTCTGTGGAGGTTGTCTTTGGTGTGCAAAAGCTTTTAAATTTATTAGGTTCCTATTTGTTTATTTGCTTTTATTTCCTCTGCTTTAGGAGGTTGATCCAAAAAAGTAAATGATTTATGTTAAAGAGTGTTCTTCTTGTTTTCCTCTGGGAGTTTTATAGTATCCGGTCTTACATTTAGATCGTTAATCCATTTTGAGTTTATTTTGTATATAGTGTTAGAAAATGTTCTAATTTCATTCTTTTGCATGAAGCTGACCAGTTTTCCGAGCACCGCTTATTGAAGAGACTGTCTTATCTCCATTGCGTATTCTTTCCTCCTTTGTTATAGATTAATTGACCATAAGTGCTTGCATTTATTTCTAGGCTTTCTGTCCTGTTCCATTGATTTATGTGTGTTTTTGTGCCAGTACCATACTGTTTTGATAACTACAGCTTTATAGTATAGTCTGAAGTCATAGAGTGTAATTCCTCCAGCTCTGTTCTTCTTCCTCAAGATTGTTTTGGCTGTTTGGGGTCTTTTGTGTTTCATTACAAATTTTTAAATTATTTGTTCTAATTCTGTGAAAAATGCCATTGGTATTTTGGTAGGGATTGCATCAAATCTGTAGATCGCTTTGGGTAGTATGGTCATTTTAACAATATTGATTCTTCCAATCCAAGACCACAGTGTATCTTTCCATCTGTGCCATCTTAAGTTTCTTTCAACAGTGTTTTATAGTTTTCAGAATACAGATCTTTTACCTTCTTAAGTAGGTTTATTCCTAGGTATTTTATTCTTTTTGATGGAATGGTAAATGGGATTGTTTCCTTAATTTCCTGAATTTCTCTTTTTGATATTTTGTTGTTTGTGTATAGAAATGGAAAAGATTTCTGTGTATTTATTTTGTAAGCTACAGCTTTACCAAATTCATTGATGAGCTCTAGTAATTTTCTGGTGGTGCCTAGGAATTTCTATGTATAGTATCATGTTATCTGCAAACAGTGATAGTTTTACTTCCTCTTTTCCAATTTGGATTCCTTTTCCTTCTTTTTCTTGTCTGATTGCTGTGGCTAGGGCTTCCAGAACTATGTTGAATAAAAGTGGCAAGAGTGGATATCCTTGTCTTGTTTCTCATCTTGGAGGGAATACTTTCAGCTTTTCACCATTGAGTATCATATTAGCTGTGGGTTTGTCATATAAAGGCCCTTATTATGTAGAGATATGGTCCCTCTGTACCCACTTTCTGGAGAGTTCTTATTATAAGTAGATGGTGAGTTGTCAAAAGCTTT